GTAGCGGTAGCAGTTTGAACTGAGCGGACTGGCGGGCCAGCGGGCCAAACTTTAATACTTAATTCAATCAATATGAAAACGTTATGATACATTACGTGGCCGTGTGAAGTGGGCAGGCTAACAGTGTTGCGGGCTAGCAGTGTGAATTGGGCGGGATGACAGGCCAGCGGGCTAAACTTTAATACTTAATTGAATGAACATGAAAACGTTATGATACATTTCCTAGCGGTGTGAAGTGGAAGGGCTAACAGTGTAGCGGGCTAGCAGAGTGAACTTGGCGGGCCAGCGGGGTAAACTTTAATGCTTAATTGAATCCACATTTAAACCTCATGATACATTTCCTTGCGGTGTGAAGTTTGCAGGATGACAGTGTAGCTGGTGGGCCAGCGGCCTTACTCTAAAACTTAACTGATTGAACATAAAAAAAAAACATTATGATACATAAACTGGCAGTGTGTAGTGGGCGGACTAACAGTGTAGCGGGCTAGCAGAGTGAACTGGGCTGGCTGGCGGGCCAGCGGGATTAACTTTAACAACAAGAAAACGTTATGAAACATTTCCTAGCAGTATGAAATGGGCGGGCTAACAGTGTAGATGGCTAGCAGTGTGAACTGGGCGGGCTGACGGGCCAGCCGGCTAAATTTTAATACTTAATTGAATCCATATTAAAACCTCATGATACATTTCCTAGCAGTGTGCAGTGGGCGGGCTAGCAGTCTAGCGGGCGAGCAGTGTGAACTGGGCGGGCTAACAGTCTAGCGATATAACAGTGTGAACTGTACGGGCTAGCGGACCAGCGCACTAAACTCTAAAACTTAATTGCTTCAACATTTTCACACTGCTAGGAGATTTTTCGTTACGTTTTCATGTTGATTCAATTAAGTATTAAAGATTAGGCCCCTTGCCTGCCATCCCGCTCAGTTCACACTGATAGACCGCTACACTGTTAGCCCGCCCACTTTACACTGCTAGGATATGTATCATAACGCTATCATGTTGAATCAGTTAAGTTTTAGAGTTTAGTCCGCTGGTCCGCTAGCCCGTCCAGTTCACACTGTTAGTCCGCTAGACTGTTAGCCCTCCCAGTTCACACTGTTAATCCGCTAGACTGCTAGCCTGCTCAGTTCCACTGTTAGCCCGCTAGACTGCTAGCCCGTTACCCCGCTCACTTCACGGCTATACTTATGTATGATACTATCAGTGTTATTTTTTATTTATAAATACAGAATTTATTTTTAGTTCAATTGTGTAGGAAACTGTAAGCTTAAAAAACCTGTAACTCATTTTTTATGGTTTATATCATAAATATAATGCTCAAATGAAGATTTATCAATATTGTAAGTCCCTAAAAGCATAATTTTTAAAAGATTATTTACATTATTTACATTTCATGTTAATAAAGGGAGGTTATTAGAAATTTATTTTCTATAAAGCCTTCAATACGAAATCAATGCATATATATTAATAATTACATAATTATAATGTGGATAAATATTTGCAGTACATATTTTACATATTCTTCGATGTTTGAAAATTGTTTGAGAAGCATAATTATATACTACATATATAAAAGTTCACTTAAGGGTGGTTACAACATACAGGATCTTTAATAAATAAGTTTAATTGCTTGATAAATAAATAAATAAATAAATAAATAATCAATAATTATTTAATTGATTAAAACATTCATGATCATAATTATGATATATTTTCTTAAAATATTTTATATATCATAAAACCAAAACACAAACTTATCAATTCAGCTTGTTTCCATTTCCAAAGTCTATAAAATCTTTATCAAATACATTTCATATTCCATCTAGCTTTGTTTTCATTTTAAACTCTAAAAGTGGCAATGTTCTGTCAGAATGTTGAAAAAATTAAGATGGCGTTCAAGAAATAAAGAGGTCATTATACATTACCGAGAATAATACAATCTATTGGACATGTAAACAGCTCTAAAGCTAAATAAAACTCAGTTGACGCCTCGTCCAATATAGTTTTAACAGATGTGAACTTGTCCAATAGAATTCCGTACAGTACTCAATAATGTATTGGGATCCTTTTAAAACATTGTAGTTTTTTCTTAAATTGAAGATTAAACCAGCAAACGGTAACACAAAAACTAGCTTTGGCACAACCAATCTTATAGGAAAATGTATCCATCATGTGTAGGGACAAATATACTCATGGTTTTTCTCGCGGGTCCACGGCTCAATATCGGGTAAGAATTACAAGCACACGGCGAACAGCCAGGTCAGTTACTAGGACTCTTCTACAACCCTTAACATTATTAAAATATCACATATCGATAACAAATATCAAATCGACTTGTTATCCGTAAAAACATACTATATATTATTACAAAGTATCCAGTCCCAATATGAACTGGTTTAGCTACGATAATCATCACTACTGTACTATCAATTTGCAAATGTTAGCAAATGTTGTGAACTCTTAAAAGAAATCTTCTCTGTCCAGCCCTAGTGACATCCTCATTTCCCTAAGGACTAGGAGTAATCCATTCTCTTGAAAATCGACCAAAATACATTAACTCATGATCAGAAGCTTGTTGAACAAGACAACCGTTATTTTGTCATGTTGTTCCGGTCTACAGAGTTACATGCCTTATCTCTTTTATATACTCAACCTAAAATATTTTTGGTATAAAATGTAAATTTTTAACATTTATTTACATTTATTGTAAACATAACAGAACTTGGCCTGTGAAAATGTGACGTATCAATATGAAATATTTATTATATTATGTTTTAAAATTTTTTATTCATATTAATATTTTTGGGGTTGTTAAAAGGTAAGAGTTACTGACCTTGTGTAACGACGTTGGTAGAACGTCATGTTATGAGCATTACATTATGCGAAAACAAAAGATGATTAATTCACATAAAGGATAGTATCCAATATATAAGGGCATAAACCACCTTCGGTGGTGAGCTAGCTTTTCACCGACAGGGTTTGTGTGCCTTAAAAACGTTACATTTGGTGGCCAGTGTGGGGGGATGTAGACAACTGTCAGCACGGAGTTGCCCTACCCACAGATTTCCCAGGCCAAGTCTCGGGACGAGAAAGTAATGTAACGACGTTGGTAGAACGTCATGTTATGAGCATTACATTATGCGAAAACAATAGATGATGAATTCACATAAAGGATAGTATCCAATATATAAGGGCATAAACCACCTTCGGTGGTGAGCTAGCTTTTCACCGACAGGGTTTGTGTGCAACGCGCTTGACTGGAGCACCTCACTTAATACCGTATTTCAGTATAAACCGAACAAGACGCTTGAATGATTAGGTGCTAACCCAACGAAATGACCTACAAAACGTCTTAATGCCGACGTATTTACGATAATGACTGAAAATTGTAAGAAAAAAGCGGTATCTTCTTACTTCGTGATCATGATTTCTTCAAGCGTCTAGTTAGAGGTATTGTTACAATACTGTAGTGATTAAATATAAATCCATACTTTAATAGTGTTAAATTTTCTGATTAAAAGATCTGGTAAAAAGAATTGTAACTGCCGAGAAGTTGAATACTCATAAGTGTAGCTAGCCAGCTAGCTGGCTCTGCCGAGAAGTTGAATACTCCGGCCGCGCAGGGCCGGAAAAATCAATTGTACGTATTGCCTAGGTTGTCCAACAGCCTGTACGGACAAGTGAAGATTTTCAAGAATTAACTATGTAAAAATCATACGGACAAAAAATGCTTCACATCAAAACGGACAAGTAAGTCAAGTAAGTCAAAATCAGATTTTGCCGGCCCTACAAAAAAGTCCGAGTAGTTTAAAACTCATAAGTGTAGCTAGCTAGCTAGATAGCTAGATAGATAGATAGATAGATAGATAGATAGATAGATAGATAGATAGATAGATAGATGGATGGATGGATGGATGGATGGATGGATGGATGGATGGATGGATGGATGGATGAGTGGGTTGGTTGTTTGGGTGGATGGATGGATGGATGGATGGATGGATGGACGGACGGACGGACGGACGGACGGGCAGACAGACAGACAGATACTTTTAATGTCATTTATTTATTATGTCGAACACTTTATAATCGAAATACACCTGTGTTAATTGAATGTTCAAAGTCTCCGCGCCTAATTATGACGACCTGACATTCATGCGGGCTCGGTTGTTATGGTTATAATCCCGTGGGAAAAATATAGACAAACCCAAACATTTTGGTTATTTTAACATATATTAATCACAAATGTATGATTACTGTCATTTAAGTTAACTTTTGTCAGTTAATGCACACAGTCAGGCATATGAAGGGTAAAGTTTCACACCTATTTTCACATTTCAGTATATTTCATATCCACAGAGAAGGGCTAAGGTTGATATCACAAAAAAATCACGTGCCGATTTTGCGACCCCGTAAAAATCGTATTGCATGGCCGTGCATATATTTTGACGTGACGACATTAGCGTTATACAAACAAAGTGTAAAGACGCGCTGAATGTTAGCGTTATAATATAGGCGCGTCAATGAAAATGACTCTTATTTCACTTTAAACGGTCTTTATTTTGCGTATGTGATAAATAGAATATTAAATTCGTGTAAGTTTATTACTGAATTAATTGCACTCATTGAATAAAAAAAAATACAATGCTCGCCAGAAGCTCGCATAATATAATTTTATTTAACTCGTGCAATAAATTCAATATTGAACTTACACTCATCAATATCCTCTATTTATATAATGATTGACGTAACTCAAATATGAAATGTAAAAATTACACTTAATTATCAAACGACCGGAGGTATCAAAACTGTATATTATATAAATTCACTCATAAATAAATACTGTAGATCTACACTTAACAAAAAATAATAATTTAGGGGAGGTAAATGCAGTAACATATTTAGGTGATGAGCAATTTAAGTTATTCCCCTACATCACAAAAATATTTCTGAAGTATCTTAAATGATATAACAAAGCAAATAAACAACGTTGCAAATTTACTTACTCTGTATTTTCTTCATCAGCGCTAAACTCTCCACCTTGAAGTGTCGGTCCATCTATGCTTTCAAATACCGGATCAACTTTCGGTTCCCTTTGAGAACTTCGGTCACGCGTGTTAGACCTGTCCTTTTCCTTCCCCCGACTGCCCGGAAGAGCTGCCCGACTCATTCTTAAATATTATAGCTCAAACTCGTCTGTTAAACCCTCTTAAAGGGGCTACACTGAGGTCTGACAGGTAATTTGGTGTCCAAAAAAAATGTAAACAAATTTCCTCACAAATCACAATATTATAACTAAAATAACAATAACTTACACTTTAACCAACCCTCTAACAACAATTATGCTAGAAAATGCATTTTCACATTAGCTTTTGATGCAAAAATGAAAGTTGGTTTTCCCAGACATGTACAGAAGTTACCCACAATTCATCGGGTATGACTAAAATACGCAACGGACATTTTTGGAACAACAGAGTAAACGGGGGTAAAAAAGTCTATTGATTTTTTCTCAACACTCTAACCTATCATGTTTATATAACTTGAGTATAACGAAGAAAAACTGTATAAAAGATAATCAAGGTAGCAATTTCGTTGTCTTGAGAAATCAAACGCCAGCGAAGCGGACATTTTCTAGACAAAACAGGAATATATTATATACATGTACAATTATTTTCATTGACATTTCAGTTTCAATTTCAATATTTTAAGGCAAACATAATGCATTGGTGATATTTATACTATAACGAGCACAGTGTAATCACACTAATAAATGTATTAACGCTATCTATAACGTATTTAAATCAAATACAGTTAATGGCATGTCGCATTTGATTTAATTGTTTGTTTTTGGGATAGAGTGGGGATTACGTCACACACACATGTGTAGGTCATTTTGGTGACTCTTCAGTTTAACTGGTGGAGTAAGAACTCAGGTGCCCACTTTGCAAAATTGTTTCTGGCACAAACGGGCATCTGTGTATGTAATGGGCTATCTTGATAGGATCGTACATACACGTTCCACACACAATTACATCATATTCATACCATAGGCAAAATTAAATGCACGTTCCCTGTTGTAACAATATGAAACCCCAGAAAAAGACCTATGAACCAGCTTCTGAATGTGGCATTTCTATCGTTATTCCACAAAAAGCACCCGCCAAAAAAAGAATGAGTACATCAATGGGCATGCTCTGGAGTGTTGGGAACTATTACCTGCACTCCAGTTACGCACTGTGCATGCATATGCATTTAACTCTGACACGTTTTCAACAGAAATGTTTTCAAACTATGATACAATAAATGTTTATGATTCTATTAGAAACTTGTTTAGAATTTAATGATTTTTCGGTGAAAACGATATAGTTTACTTGTACTACAGATAAGATCAAAGTGCTGAAGGCACTGAAGAAAAAACCGGATAAACTAACACATTTTCACTCCAGTTTCACAGGTAAATTAATTTTATATGTCGCGGTTTACATCTTAATATCAGCTAACCTTTGCTTTTTGAGACTTTTGTTTTTGAAAATAATCTAAACGAGTAAAATAAACCCTCTTTTATGGGCAAATAATTTAATAAGTAGCATCCCCGATTTCTCTTTCATAAATTGGCTTTAGCAAATTCTTTTCTATTCAAATATTAAGAACATTCTGTCAGTGACGTGTCTTCTACTTGAAATCTTCCTGGTGTGTATTTTTCGGTAACAGGAAGAAAATGACAGTCTGTTCATTTGATCATGACTGTGAAAAATCATGTTTTGTGAACCAATTTATCCTGCCGATAAAGATTTTGCAAGCAATCTGGTGGTTTATGTTCTAGTGCTTACACTTAGTATTTAATTCCAAAGAACATTTCTTAGGAGACCTTTAACGTTTGATTACGGTATAATCACTATAACCGAAATACTTAGGAATTAATTTTAATTCCTGTTACTGTGAAATTTTTCGTTCATGTCCATTAAATGTTACATGTATACAATCAAACTCCTCACAGCGGTTACGTCACGCTTTGCTACTTGTTTACAAGGGGAGATCACTGCGTAGGAGATTGGTATACAATGTGAACTTTATAACAGCTAAAAATAGATCATTTCACAGAAGCCTAAACCGAAAGTAGGATTTTTTGTGAAAATTACTGCGCGAACTTTAGCATCGGAGTACAAATAAACGCATCTTGGTAGAACAAGTAATCTTTGATTCACCATGGCTTCAGCTTCAGGTAAATTTACTTTTATAGATATTATTTGTTAAAATGCTCTTTTTCATGGGCTGGGATTGACAAATATGCATTTTATTTGGATTTTAAAGGCGTTTTGAGCTCCACACCCCAAGTGTCTGTGAACACTACCAGACTATCGCTTCGTGTTTTGTGGACCTTCGTGTAGTGGCGGACTTGGTTTAGCACTTTATGTATATTTAGCCTCTCACTGTGTTGTTGTAAATGTTAACAATGTCATGAAAATGTTAAACATATTAAAAAGGGAAACAAGACTGGTATATTTTTAGTACGAACGAATGTTTATATTTATACTTACCTGATGATCGTTTTGTTGTGATGAACGTAGATCCAGATCTGTAAGTCGATTACGATAACGTTTACAAAAATCGTGTCGTGTTCATATCTAAATAGAAGAGTCTGACCTTTAGCTAATTTAGTAGTGTGTAACCTGTACAGCAACAACAATTAAACATGCCGTCAATAAATTTATAAAGTGAAAGCCACTTTTATTTATTGTAAAATACAAACAAACACACGTGCTGTGTACTTGTTTTTCATGTTACATGATATATGAACATTAAATCTGGCGACGAGGCTAAGGAACTCTCTTTAAAATGGCTGCTGGGTTACAAAATTTCGAGCAATTCCAGGCCGGATGTGCACCGGATGCTGCCGTCAAATTTCGAAAATGTCCCCAAAAATTGGAGAATCTAATGTGCGCTATGGACATCAGTGGAGATAAGCGCAAAAAGGCACTGCTCTTGCATTATTGTGGGGAGGAAAAGTATTACATATCTAACAGTTTCACTGACGCACAAAAGGGCATTGGTGCAACAAGAATCGTAAGTGTAGATCCAGAGGTCACCGAGCCATGTGAATATGAAGCACTGAAAAACATTAACCGATTATTACACTCCAAAGAAGAATGTTACATTTGAAGTGTTCAAGTTTCGCCAAATCAGACAGGAATCTGGTGAGACAATTGACAATTTTTACACTAGGTTACGAACACAAGCAAATTTGTGTGACATTCATAACAAATTTTGATACAGAAATTCTAAACCAGATTGTTCAGGGATGCACATCATCCAGACTTAGAGGGCGTGCCTTACGGGATAATTACGACTTACAAAAAAATCATTGACGAGGCCCATGCATTGTCAAAAACTCAGTGAAGTTCGTGCTTCATAAATGGAGGGTAAACAATCAATTAACGCAATATCCAGTGAACAACTTCAGCAAGATCGTGGTCTGGGCCACTCTCGTGGATCTAGGCGTGGCTTTGTTTCTCGTAGGGGTTTTGCTCACGCGGCAGTTTTCGGGGACACTAGCAGTACACGTGGAAATTCTAAATATGGAAACTGTGGCAATTCGCTTACCAATCACAAAATCTGTCCTGCACTTGTAGATACTGTAACAAATGAAATCATTTTGCGAAGGAATGTCGTGTACGGATTTCCAAAGAAGGTCAACATGTGAATTTTACACACAATGACAAACACAGTGCTAGTGTGAATAATGTAAACAATGATGAGAGTTCAGATAATGATCATTATGATGATGATAATCTAATTTTCAATGTTAATATGTCAAATGCAAGCTTACCATGTGTTAATGCTAAGGTTTTTATTTTTTAATATTGATGTGAATTTTCTTGTAGATACTGGTTCTACTTGCAACATTATAAATCTTGATGTGTACAACAGATTTTTCAAGAAACCTGTGTTATGTCACCCTGTTCCAAATATTTTTCCATACGGTTCATAGGTATCGCTACCCTGCTTGGGATACTTTACTGGCACAATTAAGTTCAAAGATAAAACTGTAAAAACTGAAATTTATGTAGTAGACTTTACTGAAACGAGGTACTCTAAATGCTTGCTAAACTCTTCTACTGCTCAAAGTCTTGGTATTATCCACTTTACATAATTATGCTTCTTCTGTCTCTATGCCAAGCGATAATTTTGTTAGTAAGATTGCAGGTCAGTTTCCAGAGCTGTTTGATGGTGCCATGGGGAAGATTAAAGGCGCAGAAGTCAAGTTACACATTGATGAGACGGTGCAGCCAGTTTCTAGATACCTCACCGTAGAATACCTTTCCACATACGTAAAGATGTGGAGAAAAATCTCGAGAGCCAGTTTCTGGTCCTACGCCGTTGGTCAGTCAGGTAGTTGTTGTCCCTAAAAATTCTTCTGGGGTCAGGGTATGCATTGGTAAGCAAACAGCATGGATCCTGATCAGACTGCGCGGATGCGCAGGATGGTCTGGATCCATGCTGGTCGCAAACGCACTATTTTGGTTTTGTCGTGACGCCGCTCATATCTTGTCTGATACAACAGGCAATCCTTTGAGCCATTTATAGACGAATGTTTATAGATTTACTTCACTTAAATCTCATAATCTTGTACAAAGCTTCATGCTGTTGCGGAGGTGGCGGGATAGTGGTTTTGGTGGTGGTGAAAGGAGTGTAACCGATTTCATATAAGGTGTAATACATAAGTTAGAAGACGTTAATTTCGAGACAACACACAATCAATTAAAATTAAAAAAATATGTGGAAAGTGCATGTCTTGACACATTGAGATGTAGAATGTTACAAATAATGCCACTAAAATTAAAACAATACAATAGCCTGCCTATCAAATGTAGCGCGGAGAGTTGACAGAAAACATTAAACGAAACCGTCCGGTTAGCTCAATAGGTAGAGCGTTGGACTGTGGATCTGGAATCGTCAGTACCTTGCTTTTTAAAGTGAAGGCAACTAGTACTGGTAAACTGCTTGGCAGCCTTTCCAGGAACGACAATGCTCTGGTAAATTCAATGTGGCTTACTTGCATGATCTTCAAGCTACACACCTCCAGATGAGCATAAGTACATTGTATTTCAAGAAAGTCAATATCGAGAAAAAATGTACTAAATTTTAAGAAAGGTAAAAACATTCGAGTTACATGCTATGGCGGTTTAAGACTGATTTTGCAGCATTTTATCATCATATTTCTACTGCGGCGTTACTTATGCAGTAAGCTCTGTCTTTGCATATGTAGACCACTTTTGATAGATTTTCTTGATTGCAATATGGCAATTACTTTATTTGTTCACCTTACAATATTTTACTTTAAAATACATTACCAAATTTTTAATGAAAATTAATATGAATCTGGAGGCATGCTGCTTGAAATCTATTCATTTAATACACATATGAATTTTTGGTTGTGTTTTATGTCGCACCTACACGTTAGATATGATATGTCGACTTTCAAGCTTCATTGGTGGAGGAAGACCTCATGTGCTCCTTCGTGAAATATTTCAGTCAAATATGGTCACCTGATCAGAGCCACCGACGTTTTATAAGAAAGCTGAATAGCAGAATCCAGTCTGTGACAGGATTTGATTTTGTTTGTTTGATTTGGGTTTTACGTCACACCGACACAGTATAGGTCATTTGGCGACGTTCCATGAAGACCTCAGGTGCCCCTCCGTGCATTTTTTTCAGGCACGGAGAGGCACCTGAGTATAATCACCGACGTTCCGTAAGCTAGCTGGATAGCTTCTTCACATGAAGAGTCGGGATTCGAACCCACATCGGTGAGAGGCTAGTGGGACAGGATTTGAAGCTACAGCGGTGAGGGTCTACTGGATTGAAGTCAACCACCGTAACTACTTGGCCACGGACGCCACTATATATAACTTATGTCTTACATATTTTTTTTAAGTACTGATACCCTTTGTTTTATATTATATTCTTTGACTATACATAATCCAAGTCTTAAATGTATTTATTGTGTACACATTACACGTGTCTTAAATATCACCTGAATTATTAATGATTCATGTTTTAGATATATTCCTTTATTACAAATAACCCAGGTCTTAGATATATTCATTGACTTCACATAACCCGTGTCTAAGACATTTGCCTTGACTACACATAACCCGTGACTAAATAGTATTTCTTGACTACACAATAACCAATGTGTTGTATAATGTTCCTTGACAACACATAACCAATGTCTTTGATATATAAAATGACTAACACATAACCTTTCTTTTAAAATTTCCCTATGTCCTTGATAAATACTTTGATAAAAAGATTAAACCGCGCCTTTCCAGCTGTTCTAGCGGAAGAATACCTCAGGTGCCCTTCCGTACATTATTTCAGGCACGACTAAACATAACCCATGTGTAAGATATATTCTATGACTATACATATAGCACATCAATGTCCTGTAATCTTTATATATACCTAGACTGTCACCGTGCTCTGTATTCGTCCTTCTCATAAGTAATAACAAAACAACAAAAACACAAGTTATCTTTATTTTCATTTTATTACATAAATAAAAAAAGACAAGAACTTTCTAATGAAATACAACTAACAATCCATTATAACATTCAAAAGCTGATGCTATGTTTAATAGTTACATCATAATGGTTGCTTTAAAAAACGGTACACAGTCTAGCCTAAAGTTTAAAAAGTATTTGATTCATATCCAGAATATATATATCCTGAGAGTTACCGGTCCTAACACATTTACGAAGCTGATGTTCATTGGCGACGCCGGTGAGCGGCGTCGTCTATTATGGAATGCTTTTTATTTTTGCCTATGGAAGGAGCTGTTATTATTAGCAGTTAATTTCATGTTGTGTTAATTAGTTTTATTTTGATTCGTAAAAATCAAGTAAACAAATGTGTTGTTATATTTGTATTTAATAACTTTATGTAAAAAGCATGTGCATTGTGATATTATTTTCACGAAATTGCAGGTTAAGTTTAACAGCTTGTCCCTTAGTTTTAATGACAATACTAAAACCCGGATTTCGAATATCGTTGTGGTCTAGATTGAGGCCGTATCAGTTCATTCATTCATTTATACATTTTCAAAATTTTCCTACAAGAAGAAAGTTCACCTGCAATTGAGTATAAGGATAGGTAATGGAACTGTTGTAAACGATTATCCTATTGATTTTATCCTTATTACATTTATCTGTTGCGCAGAATGGTTGTTTTTACAAAGTGTACCAGTATCAGGATGTTGAAAGCTATCCGATTTTCTGCAATTACTGCTGACACATGGCCATCTATTTTTTTATGAATACTTTACCATTAATTTGCATGGCTTGATAAAACTGAACCTGCAGCATTTCATAATTTTGCTGTTTAGGGTGTTCTTTTGGGTTTCAGGTTTTCTTTATTGTAAGGGGAAGTAACTCATGTTTACTAAATTATTTGTTCTTTTCTGTCTATCTTAGGTATTACTTATAATACTATTTTTGTTGTATATAATTCACCAGTTGTAAGGTCATCAAAAGCATGTTAATGTTAATGTTAGGATTTCATATTTATTTAATATAAACTGGGAATTATTAATGTTATGTGCATACATGTATATCTTAGACAGTAGTATATTGATATGTTGAGACTTATAATTTTTCTGCATTTAAAGAGATACAGTTATGTCATTATTATTAAAGGGATGAGACTTTCATTTAAAGTTATAAATGATAAAACATGTATTGATTGAAAATGTCCTTAAACTTGGATCAAGCAATATAATTAATAATGTCTCAAAAAATCATATTCTGAATAGTTATTCTATTTTTTTTTCTAACATGTGCATAGTTTGAAAAGGACAGCTTCTGTCTTATCTATTTGTAATGAAGGGACACAGGTCTCAACCTCCAGGTCTCCTGAGTCAACCCGACAACAGACTGTACATAGAGTAGATTGTTACTTGCCCTTGAATAAATTTGTGCACTAAATTTATAGTGGGTGATTTGTGCCACATGAAAACCAACAATTTATTAGTACAAAAAGTAACTGGGCGCCAGATGAAAACATGAAAATACAATCTACCACAAAGTGGTTTGTTTGTTGCATTTTCATGTTTTGCCGGTGCCCTTGATGCAAAATACAAATCAGCCTTCATAAGATTTCTTATGTTGGTCACAGGTTTGAGTTCTGGTCAAGCTCAAAGTTTTTCTCATACTGTGACTGCATATAAGCATGAGTTCAATTTCCTATGCTCTGTAACATAAGAAATTCACGAACACAAATCGATATAGTGGGGAAATATGTTGTGGTTTAGAACTGTTTCATTATTAAAGAGAAAATGTGTAGCAGGCCGGAATATTAGCTCAGTTGGTCTTCTGAAAGTCATGGGTTCGAGTCATGGTCAGGCAGTTTCAGTCAGGGTTTAGAAGTGGTTTTTCAATTGACATATGTTTGATTCATTTAACAGATTGCATTATTTGAAATGGACAAAGGCAGTATTGCATGATACTTTTAGATCTACAAAGGGCATTTGATACAGTTGAACACACTATACTGCACATGAAGAAGTTGTTTTTCTTCTTCATGAAACTTCAAGCATCTGCCATATATAATGACATTCTTACATGGTTTAAGTATTATCTCTGATAGTAGCTGGTTGATGTGGCTGGTACTCATTCTACTACTGCTCTGAGTACCTATGCTGTCCCCCTGATGTTCATTTTAGGTCCTCTTTTATGTCTAATATATGTCAATTACATGTCTTCAACCCCAAGCAGTAAGCTTTTATTATAATGCACAGGCACGAGTATCAGACCTTGGAAGAAAAAACATGACCAGATTGATAAAAAACCTGTGTTCATCTTAAAAGTGTCAACAACCAAAAAATTGTGTCTCATAAAATAAATCTGAAGAAATTCTTTCTTATAGCATGAGTCTTTTTAAGTTTGTTTAAAGGGACTATAAATTGTTTTTTTGGGCATTTTTGGCCCAAGAACAAAAGGTTCTATTCTTTTTTTGGTTTTTTAATTTTTAAATTTTAAACGGCCCTACCCTCCAGGTAAAAGGGTTAATATGGGTTACGGGCTATAAAAGTAAAACATCTTTTTTTAAGTATTTTAAAGGGGGAAAAATCTGGATAAAAAATTTTTTTTTGGCCCGTCGGCCCTTTTCCCCCTTTTGCATAAATATTTTCTTTTTTAGTTTTTACTGTAATACAGAGTACCCTTTCCCCGTGGGGCACAAAAATTTTAACCTCAAAACCTCAAAATATCGACCTTTAATTAACCGGTTACCGCTTAATCCCTTGTTAAAGTTACCCGTGTGTTCATTTTCCTTCAAAAACATTTTAAAGTCATTTATTTTTTCAATTTTAGTAACCTTTCCCTTTAAAAAAACCCATTTTCTTTTACAAAAAAAAACCGTTTAAATTAATCTCTCTATCTTATTTTTCTTATGCAGTGTTACCGTTACTAAGTTCTCACATACATAATGAACGTTTAATACATCTCGTAACAGAGTTACCGTTCCTTAATTTTCGTATACATTACTGTTCCATACAACTCTAGTGGAGTTTACCATTCATTAATTGTTTTCATACAGAGCAACCGTTCATTTAATTTTCATACAGAAATACTGTCCATACAAATGAAGCAGAGTTACCACACTTTAATACCAACAAAAAAGGAAAAGATAAAATGAAGCTCTGTGGCTTTAATTTGAGTGCAAAATGTTAACTTTCGATGACCGCAATTTCTAACGGAGGATGCTTTTTGCAGAATCTAAACGTGTAGATCTATATGACAGGGTAAAAAAAGAGGGTGCAAAAATGATGGTGTGAAATAATGACGTCCATATACATTTTACTTGTTGAGAACAATACTCATTAGATTGTATTGGACTGGTACACAGCTGCAAACCTACATCAGACTCTGCTAGCGTCTTGTTGACAGCTGTGTACCCGTCCAACAGAATTCAGTACTGTACCCAACGATGTATAATAAATCCACACAGGAGACATTTTATATTTTGTTTCTTTTCTTCTTCGTTCCATAACGACATAAACCTAACCAGGTTTTAATGATATAGTACTCATGTAGCTTGATATTCCATTATATAGTTCCTTATACACTTTACCTTTTAACAATTATTAACAAATAAACATGTCTTTTCTGATATTATGCTCATTTTCTCGCTGTCAAGTTGAATTAGTAACATATTTCAAAAGATTGACTTTTACAATGGTGATTGGCCAATAATTGAAAGAAAAATGTTTCGAAAAAATATAAACTAATAGAATTAAATTAAACTACCTAATTAATATATAAAAAAAATAAACTACCTAATTAATATATAAAAATAGAACTGCCCAACTATTTTTTTAAAAAACTGAGCGCTTTCAAAATTCATCCAGAAAAATATGGAGGGTCACGCTGATTTTTGTTTTTGTAAAGTAAAATAGACATGTAGAATTGAAAACAATTATCGCAAAATTTTAAGTTTAACTTTCAACTATGCACTCACTATTTGCAGTTGGATGGGCATTCAGTCACTTTAAATACAAACAAAAAATATAAATAAAATAAAGTGTATAGTGCTAATCTATGTATGAATATAAATATTAATTTACATTTAGAAAACAAATGTCTTAAATGTCTATGTTGATGACTAAGGGTACTTCTTTAGTTCTGTCACACTTTGCTGTAATTTGAAATACCCAGAATGCCAGGATCAAAACAAACACGACAACGACCAAAAACGCCTTTACTGCACTGTCTGAAACAAATAAACAAATACATAAATAAATACATAAATAAATAAATAAATAAATAAATAAATAAATAAATAAAATGATATTATATATCTACATCATAATCTTTCCAGTGAATCATACAGCATACTTGACTGAATTCAACAGTGTACACATGTAGATTTACAATATAATCTGGCTCCATTGTAAATGAGTGTAATGTGAATTATATGAGCCGCGTCATGACAAAACCAGCATAATGGGTTTGTGACCAGCATGGATCCAGATCAGCCTGCGCATCCGCGGAGTCTGATCAAGATCCATGCTGTTCGCTTACCAACTCTATTACAAATAGAGAAACTGATAGCGAACAGCATATATCCTGATCATACTGCGCTGATGCGCAGGCTGGTCTGGATCCATGCTGGTCGCAAACGCATTACGTTGGTTTTGTCATGACACGACTCAATTATTTATTTATGCTCAATTAATTCTGAAAACTATACCTCTTACTATTTATTTACAGGATTCTTTGTCATGCATAAATTTTTACTTTTTTCTCTTAAGAGACCGTTTCGTTAAGGGGCAATTTTGGTGTTTCCTTGTATGGTCGCTAACCAGACGTTTGACTGTATTTTTCTTTTTTATAATAGTTTAATATTTCTTTGTTATTGTTAAATCAGATGGCCCTACAGTCGGGGCTTTTTTCTTTCTATAGCAGGGTCCGTTACAGGGCTGCTTCCCCAAATAAAAATTCTTTAAAATCATGCAGTTTTCCAAAAAAAAATTGAATTGACATTAAGTTTTTTTTCTTCCCCTTTTGCAAATAAACAGTGTAATTTACCCCCTGCTTCCCAAGCCCCTGTGAAAAAAAGACTTGGTACTGAAAAAAATTAGTAAACGTGTTCTCTTCTTGTGTAAAATTTGTGTGTTACCTTCTCTACATAAATACTTTTATTATTATTATTATTATTATTATTATTATTATTATTATTATTATTATTATTATTATTATTATTATTATTACAGTTTGTATATTTTACAATATATTCTTCATAAAAATTAATCTTTTTAAAATCAGTATTCTTAGATGGTTTACAGAGTAAGTGTCGTCCAACATTTAACTCTTACCACGCTTAATATTTTAAATGAACTTGTCCATCTTTCATGATTTTCGGGGAAATATTAACTGACAGAATAACAAACAGTACAGACTATGATAAGACAACATGGATGTGACGGCTGATATTGTGTTTACTGGGACCAAATATATATACATACAAGTACAAATGTTGCTGCAATGCAGCAATTGAGAAGCTCCGCGCAAAAAAAATGCGCTCATTACAGATACCTTACCAAATTATTCCTACGCACAGGTCATGTTATATTCAGATTATGTACTATTGTAGATTTTTTCCGAATGTTTTGTAAACCATTTTTTGCATAATTATACTTAGCTTATGCACTGTCCATAATTAAAAAGAGGGGAAAGATATTCAATATAAAAAAATGCTTTAACTGATGCCTACCTGGTAAGGAAAGTAATTCCATTGAATACAAACAAGACTTACAAGACTTGTAAATGTTATGTGACATGATTGTACTGTGTTCTGTTTGTGTCACTACTGTAGTCAGTAACATATAAGATGATAAAAATATCAAAGTCTGTTTTTTTTATTATTATAATTGTAACAAATATACAAATAGTAACAAAAGGGACTAATATTATAATATAGTAATATTACATGCATTTTTTCATGTCAAATTAAAAAAAAATGGTTTCTTTCAATACTGAAAGTAGAACACACTCAGGAATGAAAAAAATGGGATGAATTTCAAAAAAGACCAAATTCAGGAATTTTTGTTTGTTATACACGCGTTACATGGTGATACAGTATTTATTAATATAATAGAAGACTGTTACCTGAATTTTAGGCAGGTATGAGGAAATTCACTAACATCATGTTCGTGCAAGTCAAAGATATAAAAGCTATTTGACATTGGTGATATATATAAAAAAAATCTTTTGTTTTAATTGATTTATTTGGAGATCAATATACTTTTTTTGTTGAATTGCTTTTAAAACCATTCAAAAAAACATTACACTTCATGTTCAAAAATGCAGATCAAAGTTTCTGTTGTTATCAATGATGCTATCTATCTATAGCCTATGCTTAATGAGGGTCCATCCGCTCGTAAGACCACAACATATAGGTTTCGCTGTCGAGTACGGACCCCGGACATGTCACAAGTCATACCCTTAGGCCGCTATTCCATTGGTACGTGATCAGTGACCCGCGTCCGCGATCCGTGTCCGGTGCATGTCCGTGAGTATTATTCCATAGGTACATTATTTTCTATATACTTTAAATTATAGTATAGCGAACAGAGGATAATTATTTGTAGAATATGATATAATTTCATTCTAATACCAAAACCAGTTGTAACATCAAAGAATTAGGTAAAAAGAAAAAGGAAAATCATGTAATACCAGTTAGGTTTTTGAATAACATCTCTTTAGCAACCGAAATACCAGATGTTGTTTTTTTATCTGTCATTGGTGCTCCATAAATTTATGGGTTCTCCAACACTATTTTGGTGAGCCTTTTAATATTTTCTTTCGAAAACGATAAAGTATTTGATTTCGTTCGAAGCATTTTGTCGTGAGGAGACCTGTGCTCATCTTGCAAAACGTCGCGGAAGCGGATTGTTAACGGACTAAAGGAAAATATTTCACGTATGTTTTGATAAGCAAATCGATTGCGGACGCGGACCACTGATCACGTTAAAATGGAATAGTGGCCTTATTGAAATAAATTTAACGCACTAAGTGGTGTGCTGTATCAATGTCGCCAATGAAATGTAACCTTATATACAATCAATATATCAACATGTTATTATTAAACATTCAATTTCATAAATATAAATTTAGAATAATTATCAAAAGCAAAATTATTAAAGTCTTATGCCTGAAATCTTCTTTATATTGACAAATTCAATCATTAATAGTTATACTTGAATATGCTGTGTGTAAATGTAATTCAATATATAAACCAAATTATAATTTCATGTACAACTAAAAAGGGAAATAACAAATGTATAACCTTAGTGTAAAAAAATCAGAACATTTATAGCTATTTATAGCTTTCGAATTATGTACAGCAGAAACTGCTTTCCGGTTCTCATTCATTAAATATATGACATGTTGCGAATCACCGAAGGGGAAACCAATATAGGAAATCGAAAGGAGTCCTTGAATGCGGATTTAATTTTAGCTGTAAATCGAAGGGATTAAATGATCAAAATCCGGGCCCATGGACAAAAAAAAAATAGTAAACACAAATAGCTCTGCGCCTGTGGGCGCGGAGCAATGAGCCGCGTCATGACAAAATCAACGTAATGCGTTTGCGACCAGCATGGATCCAGACCAGCCTGCGTATCCGCTCAGTCTGATCAGGATCCATGCTGTTCGCTATCAGTTTCTCTACTTGTAATAGGGTTTGTAAGCGAACAGCATGGATCCTGAATCTCAGACTGCGCGGAGGCGCAGGCTGGTCTGGATCCATGCTGGTCGCAAACCCATTATGTTGATTTTGTCGTGACGCGGCTCATATGTATATATTGTAGTCCAAGGTCTACACTGATATATAGATTTTTATTCAGATAAAAACACACATAAACATATACGCAATAAATACACTTACACATTGTTATAATAAAAGTAAATACATATTTGTTTAAATGTGTCTTGGTAGTTTGTTACAAATATCTGTATCACAGGATGACTATCTAAAGAAACATATAAAATTAACAAATTCGCATGGGTGAAATCTGTTGCCGACAGAACGTTAAGGATTCAATATGTTCCATATTCTTTGTTAACTTTATTACATCATTACCAAGCATGCTTTAAAAATGAAATGATATAAAAGCCGTCCTAATCAACACAATCTAATTCTTTATAAACTGAACTAACATTGTTGCAGTTGTCTATCACAAATACACTAGGTTACGAACACAAGCAAATTTGTGTGACATTCATAACAAATTTTGATACAGAAATTCTAAACCAGATTGTTCAGGGATGCACATCATCCAGACTTAGAGGGCGTGCCTTACGGGATAATTACGACTTACAAAAAAATCATTGACGAGGCCCATGCATTGTCAAAAACTCAGTGAAGTTCGTGCTTCATAAATGGAGGGTAAACAATCAATTAACGCAATATCCAGTGAACAACTTCAGCAAGATCGTGGTCTGGGACACTCTCGTGGACCTAGGCGTGGCTTTGTTTCTCGTAGGGGTTTTGCTCACGCGGCAGTTTTCGGGGACACTAGCAGTACACGTGGAAATTCTAAATATGGAAACTGTGGCAATTCGCTTACCAATCAACAAAATCTGTCCTGCACTTGTAGATACTGTAACAAATTGAAATCATTTTGCGAAGGAATGTCGTGTACGGATTTCCAAAGAAGGTCAACATGTGAATTTTACACACAATGACAAACACAGTGCTAGTGTGAATAATGTAAACAATGATGAGAGTTCAGATAATGATCATTATGATGATGATAATCTAATTTTCAATGTTAATATGTCAAATGCAAGCTTACCATGTGTTAATGCTAAGGTTTTTTATTTTTTTAATATTGATGTGAATTTTCTTGTAGATACTGGTTCTACTTGCAACATTATAAATCTTGATGTGTACAACAGATTTTTCAAGAAACCTGTGTTATGTCACCCTTGTTCCAAATATTTTTCCATACGGTTCATAGGTATCGCTACCCTGCTTGGGATACTTTTACTGGCACAATTAAGTTCAAAGATAAAACTGTAAAAACTGAAATTTATGTAGTAGACTTTACTGAAACGAGGTACTCTAAATGCTTGCTAAACTCTTCTACTGCTCAAAGTCTTGGTATTATCCACTTTACATAATTATGCTTCTTCTGTCTCTATGCCAAGCGATAAGTTTGTTAGTAAGATTGCAGGTCAGTTTCCAGAGCTGTTTGATGGTGCCAT